GCCGAAGGTGTCTCTTTGAAATGCCTTGGGAGCATCTTTATAAACTGTTGTAACTTTAAAATGCTGACGTGGGAGGTGCATTCAGAAGCCCTTAGTGAGGACCAGCTGAGCTTCCCTGTTCTGTGTGGAAAGAGAAAGGGTGTTTGGCTACAAGAGAATGTGAGCTTTTCTTTGTGTGAAGAAAAGGATGAGGTTTTTCGTAGGCATTATTTCACTGCTTCCCCCAACACCAGTGGGTAAAGTGAGAACAGGTCCTGTAGACCGGGCTTGCAGAAAAGGAAACAGAGGCCAGAGAAGTTAAATGACAGGCCCAGTGTCACACAGCTAGTGAGCAGCAAAGACATGACTTGAATTCCGGCCTTTTGATGTCTAATCCCATGTTGTTTAGAAAGAGACCATGGTAATCTTCTCTGTTAGCCACCTCGTTCTGTTTGAAGAGAAGATGGCATGAGTGGGTTTTGCTGCTGATAGTTATATCACATACAGAAATGCTTGGGGAAGAAAAAAAAAGAGAAATGTTTGGAATGTCCTTATGACCTGTGTGTGTCATGGCCAGTGTGTGCCTGGGGCCATTGGCCATTAGGCTTAGCTGAACTTCAGGGACTATTTGGCCCAAGAGTCTCATTTTACCAGAGGGATCAAGGCCGAGAAGAGTGAGGCAGCTTGTCCAGAGCCAGGAATTTACAAGGGTCTTGGCCCCTCTGACGCCAAGCCCAGGGCACAGCGTCAGAGCCCCTGTGGTTATTCAGAATCCTGGGTTCTTGGAACGTCTCCCTTCTCAGCACTTCTGGAGATCCAGGTGCTCTCCGTGGCCCCAAGGACCCCCCTTGTCCCCTTTACCTGTTTGCTCTGCCCTCAAGTTGGACAGTCCAGGGATGCCGAGGACAGTCCTGGTCTGGACTGTGAGTGACCAAAATAGGATTCTGGTGGCTGACTTCTGGTAGGAGCCAGGCTGGACAGCTGCTGTGAGGATGCCAGGAGAAGGCATGGCTGCACTGAAAGCAGGTAGCTCAACCTGGGAGGGTGAGCCTGAGCTAAAAGATGAGCATGAGGCCAAAGATGTGGAGAGTGGATGGGAATGAGAGATGGTGAGATGGGCAGGGTCAGAGTGGGTGAGGGAAGAAGGCCGGGGCTTGGCACTGAGGGGAACACACCAGGTTGCAGAAGGGAGCCCCGTCTCTGCAGAGAGCAGAAGAGAGCAGAAACCAGGAATGCAGTCTTCCCTGTGGTGGGTGAGGGACTTGCTTTAATTTGCATAGCATTAATTAGCAAGAGTATTTAATTAGGACAGCCGCTACAGAGCCACAGGATTACGCGGCTACTGAATATCAATGAATTTTGGAGCCTCTCCATGAAATTGAAGGAAAAGTTCATCTTATTAAACAGAAAAAAATTTCTAAATCAATTAATTCCCAAATTGAATGCACAAAACGTAGATCTGAATTCAGTAAATACAGACTCCAGATAGTATCACCTCTTCCCCTTTGGGGGTTCCAGCTAGTAACAAAAATCATGAATGGACCCCATATGTGTACACACACATGCATATTTGGGGGCTATCACCTTGGTTGGAGAAGGCCCCTGTACATCCTTACCTGGCTAAGCTGACACGTCACTTCTGTTCGGTGGTCCTCTCGGACTCTGCCTGCAGGCATAGTTTTCTGTTATTTTCAGATATTTATTTAGAACTGCAAAGTCTCAGAAGATCTACTGTAATCATTACAATTCTGGCCTGTCTTTGGAGGCTACAAGGCAGGCCAGGAGAGCAATTTATACTGCTGGCTCAGAATCCAGAGAACACACTCCATCACTCTCTGTACAGCCTCAAGGGAGGAAGGGCTGGAACAGTTCTGAGAAGCCTCCCTGCAGAGCCTGGCAGGGCAGGGCACGGAACCCGGAGGCCGACCGATCGGAGCAAGTCCTGGCTTCTTCCATCGCGACTTAGACATTTGTCGGCCATGTCCTTGGACGAGTTAGGCAACTTCTTGGAGCCTTGGGTTCATCCTCTGTTAAAGTGGGTTGATGAGGCCCACCTAGAGGGATAGGCCCCTATGGTAGTGCTTTCTTACAGATTGTTGTCATCCGTGAGAAATCACAGATCTGTGAAGGGCTGATGCATGGCCTTCACAGAGGCCACACAGGTGGGGTCATCCTGCTGGAATGCGGTCCACCCTCTTACCCCCACAGCACTCTGGATGGCTGCAGCCAGCCTGCCCCAGGATGGCAGGAGCTCACTCCCTCACACGGGAACCTAGTGCATTTTCAAGGTGATGGAGGGGGGGAAGCATGGTATATAGAAAAGTCTGGGCTAATTGTGCAACCTGGAAAAGTCACTGTGTCTCTGACCCATAGTTTCTCTATCAGTAAAATGAAGACATTATGACCTCATCTATAGGGTAAAGATGTGAGGCGAATTGTGTAGAAGACTAGTCGAGGACCTGGTACATAGTTGGTACTCAATAAGTGTTCGGTAAAAACAAAAGAACTCTTAGTAAGCAGTTTCAAGAAGCAATTAGTAAGCACCTATCATCCTCAAAGCACTGCGGTGATCTAAGTGGAGTAATCCCTGGATGCTCAGTTTCTGCCCAGCAGGATTGTATGATCTCATGCTGAGTTGAGTACCCTGATGCTTGGTAGCATAATACTATATTTTCACAGTTTCTTTTTTATATTAAAAAAGTAGAAAGCTAAAAAATAATTGGAAATATACCGTATGCAGTTTGGGGGTCTGTGTTTTTCACTTGATATACCATGAACCTCATGTCTTTAGATACTCTCTACAGAAATAATTTTAAGTGGTTACACGGTGTTTTATCACTGGCTGTTCTCAAATTGGCTTAACCACTCTAATATTTTTGGGCATCTAAGGATAAATGGCTTTAAGAAAATGACTCTCATCTGTTGGGATATAATTCCTAAGCATTCCTGTGTAGTAATTACTCTGTTGTTGAAAAGTTCTGAGTTACAGGGGAGAAGGGTAGACCAGTTGACCAGAGGACTCCCTCCCAGCCCAGTGGGTGGCAGCAGGGCAGGTGTATCAGGTGCCCCCACCACGTGATGTGTGGCAGCTAATCAGCCAGCCCTGAGGCGCAGCCATCACCCAAAGAACCATATCAATTTCAAGCTTTATCATGGTGCAGGCAGCAAAGAAAAAAATGATAATTCAACATTTTAATGAATAGAAAACATGTCTAGTCTAGCCAGACTCTTTTGACATGTTTTCCAGCTATTAAAAATGGTTAATGGTTTATTTTTCATTGACATATGATACAGAATGCACAGAAATCTGTAAAGTAGCAAGCATTCCCGCTGATCCAGAGAACGGCTCGTCTCCCCATGGGCCTGGAACTGGTCAAAACCAAGGAGCAGGTGGGAGTTGCCTCTTATGTAAAGGCTTTGAGTTTTAGAACAAAAGGAAGAGGCTCAAAGGAGAGGAGACAGCATCTGGCCCCTCTCTCTTTATTTCTTTCTCTAAAAATGTTGGAAATAGACTTGGATTATGATTTCAGTTCATTTCTGCCAAAAGAAATAAATTACAGGTTGAAATGTGCAGCTGATCCCGAACCCTTTCCCAGGGAGGCATGATGCTCCCCAGATGCCTTCAGATTTCTTTGAGAAAAAAGTTGTGGTCATTTCTGGCTCAGAAACATTGCAAACTGTTGATTCCAGGGAGGTGGTTTGTCTCATCCTAAAACAGTGTGGATTCACTGCCTGCTCTTCTCAGCTCCACCTAGGTTTTATGGGTTGTGTGGCACCCATAGTCTCTGTATGGTTGGGATAGAGGCTAAGGGCTGTCTTGAGGACAGGTGAGAACAGATATGTGAAACCACCCTGTAAACTGTAAGGTGCTTTGCAGAATCAGTTACTGTTATGATTAGCAGCTCCTGGGGCCTAGGAGCTGTTTCATGTGTGGCTTGCGTCTCTCAGGATGCCTTCGCTGTCTCCTTTGAGAATGGGAGCCGTCTCTATTCCCTAGCTTCCAAGGACCCAGGAGGGCACCAAGTCCCCAGCCTAGACACCCTGAATCTGTAGGGGATGAAACGGAAATGTAGCCGCTAACCTTACATGGCCAGGCATGGGTCCAAGGCACTTTACATACAAATGCATTTATTTTTCACAGTGGCCTGATGAGGTAGGCGCTCATGTTATCCCCATCTCACACACGAGGCAATGGAGCACAGAGAGCTGGGGGAAGGAGCCTGAGGTCACGAACTAGTAAGCGGCAGGGCTTGGACCCAGGGGGCTGGCCCCAGAGCGCAAGCTGCTAACCATGTGGGTTCTCTAAGCTGCCCTGGGGCTGGAAGGCTGCAGTGAAGGCCAGGTGGCCCACGTCCCCCATTCTCGGCAGGAGGCACCCTCAGGGCCCTTCTCCTGCCCAGGCCCCCTCTCTGCTCCCTGCCAGGCCTCTTCTCTCTCCAGTAGCTCCTCTACTAACCTTGCCTCCCTCCCTGCCCTTGGCCTAAAACAAGACACTGGAAGCAGCTGCCAGGGCATCTTCATTCATGACACGACTCTGCATTGTCAGAGATGGAAGGGACCCCAGGAATCCTCTGGTTCAGGTTTGTTAAGAGGAAAGACAGGCCCGAGCTGGCACAACACTGATGCCCAAAGCATATAATAGCAGCACAAAAAAGAATTTTGTTCAAATGACTTATGAAGGTGGAGGAGAAATTCTAAACAGCACATCAGCAAACCCAATCGAGCCATGTGTAGCAAACATAATACATCGTGCCCAAGAAGAGTTCATCCCAAGAATGCAAATATGACTTAACTTTAAAAAATGGAGGCCTGGGGGGCAGCTGCTGAGCCTGGGTCGGCCCAAGGCCCAGCACAAGGGATTTTCACGGTTCAGGTTACCTGCGTGCTGCACTCTGCTCCCAGAAAGAACTGGTGACAGTCCCTCCTGCACCTCCACTCCTCCCCCTTTACACAGTCTCTGGGTAAAATGAGATGCTCCATCCCTGGCCTTCCCTGATTCTCTCTTCCTATTTTTCCTGCAGGATTCCATGTTCTCGCTGGCCCTGAAATGCCTTATCAGTCTGTCCACCATCATCCTTTTGGGCCTGATCATCGCCTATCACACACGTGAAGTCCAGGTAGGTGCCCTCGCCCTCACCCCTTCATGCAGGGGGTCATTCCTTTGCCTTTCTCTGCACTGAGCCCATCCCCACCCAAGGGCCCCCCCCCCAAGCAACTATTCAGGTGATCTTGCAAGATGGTGTCTGAGAAAATGGCTCTTCTGGTTTGGAACCTCACAGAAGAGAGAATTGTGAGGCTACCCTGTGGCTTTAGAATAGCTATGGCATTATTTTCATTTGAGGATCCCAGAGGCAGACATGTCTTTGTAATCTTGGGGAGCAGCCTGCTCAGGATCCTCAGCACTGTTGTAGTGTGGGAGCCCTTTATGAATTGCTCTGCCTTTTCTGTCTCTTGTGGGATCCTTTCTGAACTTGAGCCACTGAGTCCCCCCAGTGAGACACACCTGCCTCATGGTCCCCTCCCCACCCCCACTGCCAAATGCCACCAGGAATCTGTACTTCCCGGTGGGGTAGACTTTACCCCTGCTGGGTCCTGCCAGGCTGGAAGGAGTCATTTTCTAGATAAAATAGAAGTTTTAGGTGGTTGAGGACTATTGTTTCCTGCTGCCCAGGAGAGATTTGGCACCCAGAGAAATATTGGCTGGGCTCTGGGGTGCACTTCCAGTTTGGCCAACATAGGCAGGATGGCTCGACCTGAGCTGGGAAGGGCAGGTGGGGGTGAGCAGGTCTGCGGAATCTTCTCGTGACAACAGCTCTCCTCCATCACCCGGCCCCTCAGGCCGACCTGTTTGATGGGGACCTGGGTGGTTCTAAAGGATCCAGATGCTTTTTCTCACATCCACATGAATCTGGATATAATCCTGGTCCTTTGGCAGGAGGAACATGGATTGATGCACATCTGGGCAGCAGGCAAGAGATTGACAAAGACCAGGACTCAGAGTCAGAAAAACTGGGGTCACGTCTTGGCTGTGACCTCTTCTCATGGTGTGTCTTTGGCCAGCCCTTCAACCTTTCTGGGCTGGAGCACATGAGCCTTCGCTGGTCTGGAGCACGGGGGTTTTACTCCAGTTTTTCTGGGTTGGAGGGTGGAATGAGGAGCACAGGAGCACGTGTGCTGTAAGCAGTGAAACGCTATTCAAGTCTCCTCCCTTCGCTTCTCAGCATTTTCTAGGTGGAGCTGCTGTGTAGACAGATGAGGTGTGGGCGCCTCCTCTGCTCTCTGGCCAAGTGTCAGGGGGCCTCTGTGGCTGGCCTGGATGTGGACGCCGTGGCTCCAGGCCACCTCCAGTCTGCCGATGACCTGAGGATGCTAATTTAGAAGGCTGTGACTCTTTAGTCTCCAAAGGGTCACAGGTGCTCAGACAGAGGCTGTGCTCTGAGGCTAAGAGCCCTGACACCACCAAGCGGCTTCCTTCATGGAGTCCGAACTGGACAAAGCTGCTGGGCTTTAAGCCAGACCATTGTCCAGTCAACCCCAGAAAGGAGCCGGGAATACAGGGAGGAGGAATGGGGTGAGGAACCGAGATGGAATCAGGAGTCACAGTCTGGGCTTCAGGCCAGGTTGCACCCCCAACCCCTGCCCCAAACCAGCCTCGGGGCCCACGTATTCCCTCAACCTCTCTGAGCCCGCATGTCCTCATCTGCACGGAGTCTGCCTTACATGCATCACCCTGACCTGTGTGGGAGGTATCACACAGGCCAATGAAAACAGACAGAGTCGTAAAGCTCGGCTATGATCCAGGCTTGAGGGAGGGGAACAGAGGAGCGGCTTCTAACCTCCGCCACACACTGGTCCCGCTAAGCCCGGCTGCTTTGCCTCCCACTCCAGGCACTGGCGTGCAAGAGCAGGTGTCCCTCCCTCTGATTCTCCTGGGCTCCTGGCTCCCAGCGCAGAGCCTGCAGCCTGAGCTCTCAGGCCTGATCCAGCCCAGCTGCGCTGGTGACCTCAGTCCTGGCCTGGTGGCAGGCCCATGCTGCTGACAGGCAGTCACCTAGCTGGGCACCCTTTGCCCCACCCTCTGCTCGCAGCCGGTCTCTGCTCCACCCTAACTGTGGCCAGTAGAGGATGCTATTTCAGTCACTTAGCTTGGCCTGGCACAGAACTTGGAGAAACAAAGTGAATTTGGTGACACTGAACCCTGGCTCAGACACTTCAGCCTGGATGACCTTGGGCCTGTAACAACCTATCTGGGCCTCAGTTTCCCCATATGGAGTATAGACTTCTATCACTCACTTTGCTGAACTCCTAAGAGGTTGGTAACAGTAGAGAGTACAGGATGGGCTTCCATGAAACAGAAACGGGTCCCTTCTTATGACCTCTATCCCACTGCTTCCAGCTGGGCCTCGTCTATGAATACGCTGGGGCCACCAGATGGTCACTGTCGTGGCTGCCCACTGCTGGCAGGTGGCTGGACTTCCTCCCTGCTCTGGCCTGGCCCTGTACTCTCAGCTCCCATTGCCCAGCACCCTTAACCTTCCTGGCACACCTTCACCAGTACCTGGCTCCCTCTGGGCTTCTTCCCCTTCCAGGAAAGTTCTTTCTGCATGTAGCTGGACCTTCTCCTGCCAGAGGGAAATGGGAATGGCTTGGGCCCAGATCGTCAGTGGGGGGAGGGAGAGGGCCTGCCTCTACTGGGCCCTCTTATGTACACCTCACCTGACCATATTACAGTTTTCTGTTTTGTGTCTTTCTCCCTCATCTTGGGGGCAACGATGTCATTAATCTGCATTCTCAGGGGCCCACAATGTCTGACAAAGAGCAGGTGTTTGCTGTGCATGTTTGGATTGAAAGGGTACTGGATTCAAGCTCTCTGGTTCCCATAGCATTTCAGATGATGACTTAGCTCTGTGGTCTTGGGCCTGTTTCCTCATCTGTTGAGTAGGGATCCTAAGCACCCCCAGATCTGTAATTCTCTGATTTAGGTTGGGTGCATGGCCAGCTAGGGGACTTACTTCCTGGTGGCTTCAGAGGGGGGCACTTGGAAAATACCTTTTGCAGGGAAAGGCCACATCTGCTGCCCACCTGTTGTAAAGCAGGACAGTGGCAGGGTGTTACTCATCTCCTCTGTGGGGTGATGGCAGGAGCTTGTGTTAAGGAGACGCTCAGTGCTTCCTTTATCTACACCAGTTGCTGGTCACTGAGCTAAATTTTAGCAGGAACCAGATGCCCATGTCTTCACCTCCCAGCCCTGCCCAGACCTCACATCCAGGCCCCAGGCCCTGGCCCAGCACACCTGTGAGGCTGGGGTTACCTTCTAGAATAATATTCTTATGTGTTAGCATGGGTGGCTTGCATTTTTGAGGGAGAAGAATTCTGAAACATCACTGGGTAACTCTCAACCAAACTCTGGCTTCAACTCACAAAGTCTCAGGCTTGGAAGGTCCCCAGAGGGAGGGGTGTGCTCCACCAGTACAGGAACCCCCCTACCTCTGTGGCACTGCCCACGACAGGGTGGCACTGCCTCTTGAGGGAGGCTCTTCTCTGATGGGCAGCACAAGGTTTTAGAAAGTCATCCTTCCACTGAGCGGAAAGCGGCCTCCCTGGAACTTCCACCGAGCCCCGACGCAGGTTCTGGAGCAGAGAAAGGAAGATGCGGTGTCTCCCAGGAGACAGCCTCTATTGTCTGAAGAAGGCTGTGCATTTCTCCTCCATCTCCTCTTCTCTCAGTGTTTCGGAGCATGGAGCTTTCAAGGCTCAGGCATCTGTTATCCCCAGTCCAGTGTGTCCTGGAAGGAAATGAATACACACACACACAATGCATTTTGCTTATTTACCGAAACTCTGAAAACAGTGAGTAAAACCACTTACACCTGAGGTTTGGTGATCACCAACAATTCCCAGATGGGCAGGGCCAGCCTCCAGCGCCCCGACTGCAGACTCACGATTGAGATGTCATAGGCATGTGCCTGGCTCAGCATATGAAACGCGGAACTCTTTACTGCTCCCCCAGTTTCCTCGCTTCCCTGCTCCGGGTGATCCATCTAGCTCATTCATTCAACATGTACTTACTGAGGGTCTGTTCTGTGCAGAACAGGAGCCCAGTTCTCTGCACTAGAAACCCTGGAATTACCTCTCTCCAAAGGGGACACCGACCTTGAGGAATCTATGGCTTTAATTAGTGTCTCCGGTGCCATCGTGGAAGGCAAAGTCTCAGGTGGCTGAGAACACGGACTTTAGAGTAGCTAAACTTGGGTTCAAATCATGCTCTTTGTCATATTTTAGTGTGCATAGTGGCCTTTCGCAAGTTACTTAATCCCCCTTAGCTTATTTCTTTTCTGTAAAATGGGACGAATAATAGGACCTCCCACAAAGGGTCATTGTGCAGATCAAATTAGATAATATATGCAAAACACCTTCCCTGAAATGAGGATGCACTTGCCTGGCAGGCAAGGCGGAAAGGATATCCCAGGCAGAGGTGTTCAAACAAACAAAAGTGCCGGGATGGCAAAGTGCAGAGTGTCCTGGGTGGGTGGGGCGGATCCACTGTGGAACGTGGACGGGACCAGCAGGAGCTTGTCTGCCCTGTTGAAGGGTTTGGAGCTGCCCTGTAGGCAGCAGAGGAACCACGGAAGGATGTCAAGCTGGGAGAGAGGGGATCAGATCTGCATTTCAGCCACAGCATGGCAAATGTTAGAAGGGCCAGTTTGGGACGCAGGAGATTGAGTTAGAAGCACGTTTCTGTGGTCCAGGTGAGGGAGTGTGATGCACTGAACTGGGACAGGAAAAGAGCTGGGACGGGGGGTGGGGGCATGGGGGGCTGTGTACACATGAGAGACAGACGTGCAGCAAGTAGAATTGGCCAGACCTGGTCACGATTAGGATGGAGGTGCTGTCCGCAGGGAGAGGAGGGGCCTATGCATTGCTTGGGTAGCTCGGTGGCTGGGAATCCATTCACTAAGATTGAAGCCACAGGACTGCCAACCATGTGAGTTGTGGACCTGTTTTTGAGTTTGGAGTTTGAGGTTTGGCAGAGTTGGGGGGGGATCCAGCTGCCTCCAGGACTATGATGCAGAGGCCAGGGCAGGATGGGCAGGGGGCAGTGAGACGAGAGGAGGGC